AGAAAGCACAGCCTCCACTTTTTCCCATGTATTTCTTAGACTAAATGGGAGGAAAGATAGCAGGAAAGGCAGTCGCTTCCTGAACACCTTTGTATAAGATGGAGACTTGGTGCATTCACGTTACAGAGGTCTCTTGTTCTAAATTTCTCTTAGAGCTGCATTTATCGTGAGTAGATCCCACCTCTCAGAAGACAGACAGGCAGTGGGTGATGAATACGCAGCTTTTCATTCACATTAAATGCTCTGCTTCAGAATAGGAACGCTGCATCAGATCATGCATGCAAAATAACATTGTTCTTTAGTACGGGTTGGTGCTTGGTTCCCAGTTGCCAGGCAGGTGCTAAAACATCAGAGATACTCAAGTTCCTTACATACAGTGGTAGAGTATTTGCATAAACATAACAAATACCTTACCATATTCTTCGCAGTGTCTCTAGATTATTTATAAGACCTGACGTTGTATAAATTCTCTATAATGATTCTTATTATTTAGCGACGAATGCCAAGAAAAGGCCTTATCTGTGTTTAGTACTATTTAGATGTTTTCTGTCTGTGGTTGGTTAAATCAGTGGATGTGAAATCACTGAGGGGCCAGCTGTTTGGTTGGTTTCTAAAGCAACCGGGATTCCTAGTCCTCTTCATCCCAGCTGCTGGGAATTGCTGCTGAAGTCCGAGTCCACAAAAGCTCCAAAACTGGGTATCCACTGCCAGCACCGCATCGGTCCCAGCCTGTTCCCTTCCAGAAAGCCCACTTTCAACTTTTGCAGCCACATCTGATTAGATGATATGCAGGAAGAAGGTTGGATCAAGTCTGAATCTTAATGTTCCTTGTTCCTGGCCATGTGACCTTGGGAAAGTTATCAAAACCTGTACATTTATTTTGTTAAAGGAGTTGTCCGTGTATCAGATCAGACTAGCAATCCACAAAGATGAAATGGTTTCTTCCACTCCCATCTCTGTTTCATTTCAAGTTTCCTTCCATGTGAATGAGAGAGGTTTCACCTCCTCAGATTTGGCATTTTTCCATTTCCTTGGGTAGTGGTGCGTTGATTCGGGAGGTGAGTATGCAGACTTATAGGGTAATCTGGGTCCAGTCACCTTTCCATGTGGTTATTCATTGAAATGATGCTCATCTACCTCATGGTCCTCAGTCACTAATGACCCTTTAGGACTGACTGCTGTCTTGGCATTTCCTTTCCTTCCATGGGCTACACCAATACTTGCTGTGTTTTTCATGGTCTCTGTGCAGGTCCATCTACATACAGTCTACTTAGTGCCACACAGATATCACACATCCTGCCAGGAGCTCAGTCCTGAAAGCAGCTGTAGGTGATATATAGTACTAGAAAGAACTTGAGGTATTTCAAGGACCTCATGGTAGCTATTGTTTTCCTCTGACCTAGTAAACAGGTTGTTTAGAAATTGATCATGTGCTGCCTTAGAAATCTCAGATTATCTTAGCACATCTAATTCTTATATTTTAATTTGCCTTAGTCTCTCTCTCCACTCAGTATAAACTCCCGAAGACCCTACTCCACAGTCTACAATTACATGGACCTAATATAAAACAGGAAATGTTTTTGAAATGTTGATCTAGTCTAAGGAATCGAAAATCATGTCTGGAAACAAAGTTTTGATATTTTGTTCTTTTAAAATGATTCATGACCAAATTTATTTTGAATTTTGACAGAGGAGCTGTGTGTCCCATGTAGACACCTTCAATATTAAAAAGAGAAAAAAGTTTCATTGCATCTATTATTTTTGATATCTTATATCACATCTAATACTGGGTAAAATGTACTTCAAATTTTATGTGTGTCTCCCATAACTAAATCTCACTCATAGAGACTTCTGATTCATAAACAGAATACAGCACAGATCTTGGATTCTTAAGTTGAAATACAGAACATGGTACCTTGGCATCCAAGCCTGTCATAAATATTGACCTTTGAGCTAGAGCCTCTGAGTGTGATGATGAGGTGAGACAGATGATATATGGATAGATGGTGTACTCAGATTTTAGGGATGTACACTTTACAACTTCAAGCCTAAGTTTTATTGTATGTGAGTGCCTATATAATGAATGTCTGTCTCCCAGGGCGGTTATGAAGATTCAAGGAGACGAGGTATGTTGAAATTGCACGTGGTTTTGAATACACAGATCACACCTAGTCAGTGATACTCACTGACTCTACTGATCAAAGGTTAGAGACACGGCAGGAAATAGGTGGCCGTTTGGATAGCATCTCCATCATTTATACTCAAGCCTTCATCCCCTTTCTGCAGGTCAGAAAATCAATTCACATGATTATAAGTCAGACATTTTATTGCTATGACAAATACTAAACATAAATAAATAAATGTGAAAATATAATCCTTATGTGCCGAAGTATTTACCTTGGTTCATGACTCCAGAGCCTTCAGCCCCTGCCCAGCCTGCCCCATTGTTTCTGGGCCATGGTGAGAGAGAGCATCCTGGCAGAAGGGTGAGGAGGAGCAGAGCTGTGCCTAAGACATCCAGGAAACAGATAGAGTGACCTGCATCTCCCAAAGAGGCTTCACCCTGTATGGTTCTGTGGCCTCCCCACAGTCTATTCATATTTTGAATTCCTCAGTGGATGAAGCCAATGATTTGGTCAGAGCCCTCATCATTCAACCACTTTCTAAAAGCCCAACCTCTAAACATGAAGGACCCACTCTTCCAACATGGGAACCTTTTGGTGGGGCCACTTCACATCCAAGCCATAACACTAGGGCATGAAATTTTTATGGAGGAGCATCAAGAACAGAAAACCTCACACTGTCCTCCCATAGCCAGGTCCTTTGCAAGCCATTCACCGAAGTCACATCTATTTGGAATGCCCTGGGAACCAAGCACTAAGAAAAACTTGTTTTGCTTTCAAAGCAAAGAATCCTTATGCATCAAGGAAACAACCTATGAGACAAAATGGTTTAACACATAAAGACAAATGGTTCCTATAGCAGAGAATATCCCAAAACACAGCGATGGGGATGCCCACTGAAGTCCTCCTTGGTCCCATGTGACTCTTCTCGCTCTGCCCTATATTTTGCATTGTCCTCATCACTCCTAGGCTAATGACAAGATAGATGGCTTATGCAGCTGTGGGTTAATTATGGAAAGACAACAAGAGTTCATTGAAAACCTTCTGAGAGCAAAATAGAAGCTATTATGTGTAAGCTACCAGTCATCTTCTCCATGGTGGTAGCCTAAATTTGGTCCCATGCATGTTCTTGGGTCTATAATTATGGCTTATTGAATGCCAGGTACTGATTGGCTTCATCTTCTTCCTTGGCCCCAGACCCACCCCTGAATCCATCTCTGGAGCAATGATGGTGTGATAAAATTTGCTTAGACTCTCTCCCTGGAGCTTGCACACATGTCCAAAGCCTCAGGCCTGTCTTAGCAAGAAGGAAAGGGTGAGAGAGCCACAGTGCCCACGATGACTCTGATGGCATGCAGCGCATCCTCCTCTTCAATCCGACAGGCAATTATAAAGCGTCTGTTGTATGCCAGGCAGACTACAGCGTGCCAGGAGGACACAAGAGGCTAAGTGTTCTTGAGATGAATAAATGAGTCAACTTATGCATAGCGCCTGGTGCAACCCTCAGCCCCTAATACTTACTTGCTCAGTATTGTCTTCATTAAAATGAATAATGCATGAGTGATCTTTGCTATCCAGGAAAGAGAGGCTTAAACTAATAAATTATAGCAACTTGTGTCGAGCAAGCCTGCGGGTAGCATCAAGGAGAGAGATCGCATAAGGAGCATGCAAAAGGCCCAGCCTGGAGAAGCTCACAGCTCAATGCTTCTTAACCTTGGCTTTACATCTGCCTTACCCAAGAAACTTCAAAAGAAAAAAAAAACTCCTCATACTAATTAAATCAAAATCTCCTGGGTATCACACCAAGTCCCAGGCACCAGTTTATCTTTTTAAAGATTCCCGGAGGATTAAAACTTGTAGCCAAGGTGGATGATAACAATTTAGGCTACCAAGGACAACATGTACGTGTAAACAATTCACCAGTAATGCCAGGAGAAATCCGTAAAACCAACTAAAGTGATCCAGGCCCTAAGCCTAGAGCACAGGGGGTCTCAGGGCAGGGACAGGGTTTGGGAAATGGGGACTCAGTAAGGTGAGAGGAGGCAGCAGTGACAGGGGATATAAGAGAACTTTGAAAAACTGTGAGATTTGCCTAACCTGGGTGACAGGGAAGACAGGATGGGGTGAGCAAATGTGAGAGCAATGAAACAGTCGTGAGGGAGAACCTAGGCAGTAGAAAGAGTCGGCAGGAGAGGTTCATAGCAGCACCTAAGAAGTTCCAATAGGAGCGTCTACTACCCACAAGGCTTTGCTGGCGCACCTGGCTCACTAAAGAGCAGCAAGAGTGACCCAGGGCCACTTACTGAAAAAGCTGCTCTTTGGGGAGCTGGGAAAGACATTCACAGGAGTGCCCAGTCTGTTATCAAGCCTCAGACAGCATAAAGCACAGAACCCCTGAGAACTGCTATGCTGAGACAGCCTACCAGAGCTAGGGGGCACTAATGTGTCCCGCGAGTCATGGAGGCTCAAAGAGTTTCCAAAACCTCTCCTGGGAACTATCAAGATGGCGACTCAGTCTCCGTCCATCTTCTCTCCTCTCCGCATTCTGTTTGTTCTCTGAAGGAAAGCCAAGCAAGACCTGGGTTAGATCTGTCCATGCAGTCCATCCAAAGATGGCGGAGGGGGACTGGGATTCGTAAAGAGGCTATAGAAGGCTGTCTGAGTGAGGTGGGTTACAAGCAGACCCCAAAAGAAGCCTGTCTTAAAGAACAATGGGGCAGATGGGCGTGGCTCCTGATGAAGCTGCATCTCGAGTACTTTAAACCTTGCATGGGCATGGTGGTAGACCCCCAGCTCCCAAGGTGCTCAGCCAGGGCACACACAAACACACATTGGTTTTGTCCCTTAGGCAGATGACAATATTTCTTGCTCTCACAGGAGGAGAAGTGGCCAAACCACGGTTTGCACAGTTTTTCCATGGCAGCCTCGCCAGCCTCACGATCCGTCCTGGGAAAATGGAAAGTCAGAAGGTGATTTCTTGTCTGCAAGCCTGCAAAGAAGGGCTGGATATTAATTCCTTGGAAAGCCTCGGGCAAGGAATAAAGGTAAGGAAGGTACCGATACCACCTCTGATAAGACACTGATTTAGGAGTAGAAAGTACCCAACACCTGAGCGTGCCAGGAACTGATTGTTTCCTGAGAAGCCTCCCAGAAAAGGAACCTCGGTTAAGGTGTGATGACACTTTGCCAGAGACCAGCTAGTGATCATGACTTCCAGGATGGACTTCTGCCAGCTCCTGAAACTTCTAGATCTACAATAGACAGCAGACACTATTTGCGACTTCCTGGAGGAAGGTATGAAACTTCATTTGTCTGCAGATTGTTTGGTTACTTTGCTATTCATTTGCCTAACGGCACTAAAGTGGCATGTAGGAATACATTTCAGAAACATAAAATGTAAACAAAGAATTAGGACTCTAAAACACAAATGAGACAGGAGAGAGATGACAGACGTGAGGTAGAATTGGAAAACAGATATGACAGTCACTAGGTCTTACATTGTTAAAGCAAAGCCAGTTCCCCTTCAAGCAATATCTGAAGGTCACAAGAAACATGAAAACGTGTGGTTTTTATTGCCTATGTGAAATCAAAATATACAAGTGATTCATCAAATCAGAGCTGTGTTCTTAGAAAAGCATCTCCCAGAAGGCGGGGGAGAGACAGCTGTGGCCCCAGCAAGCTTTTCTTGGACAGGTAAGGTTACCTTCTGGACTCACCTAGATATAAGAAGCTCTAGCTGGTCCTGGGCCCCTGAGTTCTGAATAAAAAGCAGGGTCAGTCCCATCGAAGACCCTGATGAATCATGACAGGCCCCAATGTGAGAAAGTGCATCCTTAGCCCTTTTCTGGAAGTCAGGATGGCCTACCCTCTGTGTCCTGAAGACCCAGACAGCTCCTGGAGTCCCCAGAAGCATAGTAGTTTCTCCTTTGCTGTTTCCCAAGGGAAAGGGACGATAGCAGAGAATCTCTACTTGTTGCCCATCTGTCTCCGGTCTACCATGGACCTGCCTTGCCATCCTACCATGGGCCTGCCTTGCCATTCTATCATGAGCCTGCAGAACCTGCTTCTAACATAACAAGGGTCTAACGCTTAAGGACTCTGGCCCTGGGGTTGCATGCAGGGCCTGCTGATCTGAGGACCTGTGGCGTTCATTAAAATGTGATCACCCTAGCAAACATATCATGTTGCTGTTATGGGCATAGTTCTACCATACAAAGGTGGATGATCTCGGCTTATTGTCTTTTGATACTTCAGTGGGCCTAATGGTCAATAAACCTGTTTGGGTACCACTACATTGACAGTGAGCACTGATATTCCCTAAGGGCTCTAAGAGGCAGTCATTGCTTATTCTAAATGCTTTATGATCATCACTCTTTGTGAGACCCCTTCCCGTTGACAAAGGTACTGTGTTGTTCTGATATTGAGAACTGAAGGATGAAGGATGCTCAAGAAACATCCTTAAGTTAGTGAGGGGCTAATCCAGAATCTGAATCTAGGCAGCCCCACACCATAGCTTCAGATTCAGGATGAATGGCCTTCAGGGAAGGCTCCCCAGGGGAAGGGAAGCCACGGGAGAATGTGTAAGATCAGGTAGGATTCCTCCCAGTAAAGAAAGGGAAATAGAGAGCAGATACTCCAAGATGATCTGGGAATTTGAGCGGTAGCAAAGGAACATCACAGAAATGCACAGGAACCTCGGGGCCAATGTTGTAAGTGCCCAAATAGTAGCACAAAAGTGGGACCAATGGACTAGATGAAGACCATATCATGGACTCCTAGATACATTTAGATGTATTTTTGTTTCCTGTCAACTACTAGGAGCCATTGAAGGCTTAAATAAGAGAAAATAATAATCTTGGCCATGCAGGGTTTAAGATCCGTACCCTAGACACTGGGTCAGAAGGGAAGACAAAAAGAATACAGAGGTATGGTTAGGCAAGATTGACTTCCCAGATACTGTACCAACCATGGCTTTGACACACACATGCTTATACATGCATGTTAATCACATGTCCCAGGGAAAGCTGGTCCAATCAGCATGTGTTATTTCCTTGTCCACCCAGCGCTGCAGAGATCTAGCTTCCAGCCCTCTCTTTTTCGCACTCCGACTTACTGCCTGCCTATAAATGCAGCCTCTTCCTTGAACCATCCCCAAGGGCCACTGTTGCAGAGTTCCAGGCTTGACAGAAAAAAAAAAAAGATGCTAGACTTAACAGCCAGGCATTTTGTGAATAATAAATTAAGAACCAAAGTGATTTCTACTGAGCAGTCATAGCCTGTGGAAAGAAGCGGTGCTAAGCTAAGTCACACAAATAGAGGGGTCCAGGGGAGGCCTTTTGGCATCCAACCAGCTCATACCCACGTCACTACAAATGGTCCTCTCCCATCCCTAAGGCCTGACTTGTGAGAGCTCCAGGTCTGCGAAAGAAATTAATAAGACACTCAGTGTACAGAGCGCTCACTGGGGGCTATTTTATGTTCATTATCTCTGCCCCTCAAAAAAAATTAAATATTATGACCTCATTTTCAAAGCAAGGGAACTGAGGCTTAGGGACTTGTCCAAAGTAAGTCCTTGCTCTTTCCTCCACACCAGCAACTCTGATTAAAAGACGGCCTTGGTTTTAAAACTAACTTTAACTTAAACTTTAACTTTTAGTTTTAAAACTAACTTCCTTCAGACCCTGTGTGTCTTCTGCCCATCATTGCTGAAGACTACCATTTGATTTGCCAGCAATGAGCCTCGTACTGTGTGACTGACTTATAAGAAGCAAAACATCTTTTGCTGAAGAAATGTCTTCACGGATAGGGCCTAGTTCCAGCTCTTTGCTCAACTTGTCTTCCTGTGGATCGTGTATATTTCTGGATACTTCTCGAGGATATTTCAATCTCCACAGGGTTGTGGTGTCTGCTGCCTTGCACTCATGCAAGATACCACTGAATAGCCACATTTCAGAAGAGTATCCTGTTCTAATTTCCACAGCACCATCTTTGCCACCATCTCCTTCACAGTGTGGGAGAGCATGAAAGAATAGTGACCTCAGCGCCAGACACTCCTATGTTCTCAACACCAGTATTTATTTATTATTTATTTATTTACTCCCTTTGGTGACCCTGGGCAAGATATTTCAACCCCCAAAGCCCTACCACCATGTACAAAAGAAATTGATACTCTATTTCTTTTAGCAATGTAATAATTTACTAAGCATATAGATAATACATCTCTGTAGCAAACCTAATAGCTTCTAAGCAAATAACAGGTCCTTTTGAGGCACAGGAGACCTTTATGCTGATTTATTTATGTATTTAGAGGAGGATTCAGTGGACTGGACACATAGAAGTGTTTTCCTCTTACATAAGTAGAGGGGATGAGGTAGAGTAGCTATGTAGAGGATGAAGGTCATTGGAGTGGGGAGAAAGACTAGAGAACTGCATAGGGCAATTCCGTGCCCTGGTCCAGGGCATCCAACCTCCCTTCTCTCATGTCTCATTGGTTAGTTGTGGTCACATGACCTTAAACCACATGGCACAAGGGAGATAGAAAGTGCTGTTTCTACAGTGCCCGGGAAGGGGAGAGAGCAGAGTTTGGTACTGTGATGATGAGCTCTGCTGAGAAGCAAGTGACTAGAAGTAGATCCCGTGAGGACTGACGGGAGATAGTGCTGAGTAAATGGAGGCTTGAGGAACTATTCACTCATTGGTCTAACAGGAATCATTCATTTATCCATCTAACAGTTCTCAGATCACTGGAGATAGCTTCTGGGATCATGGATCAGTAGGGTCCCTGTGATCAGTGAACAAAGCCCTCATCAGTATACACTGTAACCATGCTACAATTTTGTAAGTGTTATCAGGAAGAAAAAGACCTAAATGATGACAGCTAGGTGCTTCAAGGCAGAAATAAAAGACTTACATAGTAACTAAACAAAGGAAGACCCATCAGTTGACTAGGACCACCATGCCAGTGACTCCCAACAATGATGCATTCATCACCAAACACAGAACAAGAGTATTACTGTAAAGACATTTTGGTTAGGTCAGGGTAAAGTAAACAGATAGTCTTCTTAAACCCATGAAAATATACATTCAGTCTCCCATGTAGTAAGAGAAATAGGAAATAAAACTAGAGAAAGTTGGCATTGTCACCTATCTGTCTGACTGAAGTCCCAAAGACTGACAGCATAGAAATAGATGGACTTAGAGAAGAGACACTTTCATTCTGCGGTGGTGTGTGTGTGTGTGTGTGTGTGTGTGTGTGTGTGTGTTGATAATTCCAGCTATCAGAAATTTGCAAGCATGGACAAGGAGCATGCACTACTTCCTAGTGAGGTGGAGACCACAGCTGCTTCATCACCTTCCCATGTTCTGAAGATGATCTTGCTGGCCTGGGTGGCTTCTTTGCAGAGTTGCAGTTTTCAGAGTGCCATGCCTATCATTGACCATCTTTCCTGTGATGCCCACTTCTGTCTTCCAGTATCACTTCAACCCTTCACAGTCCGTCCTCGTGATGGAAGGTGATGACATTGGGAACATCAACCGAGCCCTGCGGAAGGTGTCCTACATCAACTCCAGGCAGTTCCCAACAGCAGGGGTCCGGCGCCTCAGACTCTCTTCCAAAGTCCAGTGAGTGACAATCAAGCAGCCTAGGCCCAGCTGAGGCTGAGACAGTGGTCCCTTAGGAATGTTCCTGCAAGCAGGGCTTCTCTTACCCCATTTTCCTCAACTCTGCTGTCCACAGAAAGATGTTTCAGGGACCTGCGCTCTCCTTTTGCTTTCTTAAGGGAAACATGAGGTAGTGTCACCAATTCAAACCTACCTTTCCGTATTTTATCCCACATCTAATCTGACGCCTAGAAAGGCCTGTTTTCTATAAATTCTCCAACAGCTAAGTCTAAAATGGTCTGATACAAGGGCATAGCACCTAGTACATGGTAGGTGCTTGATAAATATTTATTAAATTTGATTAAAATAATCAACTTTGCTTTGTAGAATTCCTAAATACCGTGGGCAAGCCAGAGGAAGAGAAAGTATGGTTCTTGTCCCCAGGGAGCAGAGTTCAATTAACAAAATGAGATTACTGAACTTTTTGATAGTTCACTTATGTAGTATGAGGGCCGGCTTGTTGGGGTTTCCGTCCCGCCCGGTACCCCAACAGCCGGCAAATCCCAAAGAGAAGTTACACACAGGACTCCATAAGGTTATAAACTGATTGGCTCATTAGGTCAGGCTACTTATTAGTTCTTATGACTTATCTTAACCCATTATTCTGATCTATGTTAGCCACACGGGCTCAGTACCTTTCTCAATGTGACAGCTTACATGTTGCCTCTTCGGTGGTTTGCGCAGGAGTGGCAGACGAACCCCTGCTTCCCAGAATTCTCCTGTTCTCATTGCATCACCTCTACTTCCTGTCTGGTTTTCCCGCCTATACTGCCTGCCTGGCCAATCAGCGTTTTATTAAAATATGATTGACAGAATACAGACAATCCTCCCGCATCACACTTAAAGTGTTCATACATCACTTCCCAGACATGGCAGATGTACTTGAGATGATTGCTAGGTAAGGGTCCCCAGAGAGACTCCCAGGAGGTAGAAATATAGTCACTAAGCAACTGGACTAGAAAAGCTCAGGAGAAAGGACCAAGGGTGGGAAGGATGGGTTTGCTGACTGTTGCATTTCTGGACCTGGAAGAGATGCCAACTGTGGGAAGCAACGCTCAGCAGAGTGGTGAAAATGTGTCCCCACTCCAGAGGCTAAGGTTAGGTGTAGGGGACTTACACAAACTACCCTTCCTTCTTCCCCTGGGGACCTTCCCTCAGCACACAGGATGATGGCTGCCTCTACAGGGGTCAAACCTAAATGCCTAGAACACACAATTGGTCTAGGCGGTGCTCGCTGGTTTTGCCCAAGTCTTTGGAGTCAGTGATAATGGAGAGTGTCGATGACTTGTAGGCTTCAGTGAGCCTAATGAGAAAGCTTAGACTTTACTGGATTCAAATCAGGATGCAAGCTCTGGGCAGCAGCGGTTTTGAGGTCTTTTTAACTAGCCATTCCTAGTACAGGGTGATCGTTGCTCTCCCGATTTTATAGCTAAGAAGCTAAAGTACAAAGCAATAAACTACCTAGCCAGGAGTGGCCAAGCAGGGCATGGATCCTCACCTATTCCCCTTCCAAACCTTACCAGACGCTCATGTAGCAGTGCACAAGGGTGGTGCCAAGTCGGCCCCTCGTGCTACACTAGGATAAATTATTGTAATTGCTTTAGCCTACCCTCACCTATAGAAGAGGTGCGCCCCTGTGATACCACCACAGAGACAGAGCACAAACATATCCATAGCAGGGGAATTTAGCCCTGGGGTCTCATTTTATGAAATGGCTATAGCCAACCAGGCAACAATTCCCTTATAAAATACTAATGCACAAAAAAACAAGCTGTTGCTTTCTAATTAATGTTGCCATGGATTACTTTGCTAAAAGATAATGAAAGCTTTAATGGCAACTTGTTGCTAGTATCGAAAAGTCCCATCCCTTCCAGGAGCCGGTCTTTACATCCCTGCACTGCCAATGGTTGGGGTATTAATGTGATTTTACACGTGAAGGTCTACTGCCACCCGCAGAGATTCCTAACAGCCAGGACACCTTGGCAGGGACTGGAGGTGGCAGTCATTGCCCACGGCTATGGAGTGGATGGTTTAAATCATCAGCTGACCAGGGCTATGACTGGCGCTGTCTTTCCAGGTGCTTTGGGGAAGATGTGTGCATCAGCATCCCAGATGTGGATGCCTACATCATGGTCCTGCAGGCCATCGAGCCCCAGATCACCCTCCAGGGAACAGAGCGCTTCTGGAGACCCGCTGCCCAGTTTGAAAGTGCCAGAGGGGTGACTCTCTTCCCTGACATCAAGATCGTGAGCAGCTTTGCCAAAACGGAAGCCTCCGGGGACACGAGAGCCACAGGCACAGGTGCATATGGGCCCGCGGGAGGGTGGGGTAAAAGGATATACATCAGGATAACCACGCTGCTCACCCACGGCAGGATGATGCATAACAGGAAAGATCAAACAAAGCTAGAAACACTCAGATGATGAGCAGGAGAGGGACAGGCAACTCACCAGAGGGTAGCACACCCATATTAGTGACAGGAAAGAAGAAGAAAGACACTTGTGCTTGTGCTACATGGTAAGTGAGAAAAAGTGACATGAAGACTTAGCAGTATCGGTGTAGCATGATCAGAGCCATGTAAGAAAGAGATGCCCAGAAGAAAAGATACTTGGTGCTAACATGGTGTCCCCTGAGAAGCATGGAGAGAGACAATTTTCCTTCCCTTTTCTGTGACTGCAAAAATGCCCTGTAGTGGGTTTGCATTTTTCTGACCATTAGAAGAAGCACTAAAGGTGTGCAAAGGATAGAGTCTGGCTCCGCAGTACCATATACACGGCACAAGGCTGGGGCTCACTCGGCAATCTGACTGAGCTCTCAGGGAACTTCCAGGTTGTAATTCCTACCAGTTTCATTATTAGGGCTGTTGCTGAGGGAAGGATTAGTTTCCATTCTCTGCTTGGGAGAAACACTCCATTACACAGAAAGCAGGAGCATATGCTGGATGCAGACAAAAGGAAAGAAACCCACAGAGAAAGTCTGCAGAGAGGAAGGAAGGGAGCCTTCCTTTTGCAACTCAGAGAGACTCAGCATCACAGGACAATGCTTGTCAGAGAACAGTCCTTCGAAGCCTCCTTCAAGAAGCACAATTTCAACCCCCTCCCCCATCCAAAGTCACTGCTAATGATGTGCTGGTACCAGTAGGCCTGAGTCCCTGAAGAACTGCTTCTATAATAATCCCAATTACCCGCCGTCTTAAACCACACTGGTCCCCCGTGATTAGGTTCTCAAGGGGCAGACCTCCTGAACGCCTAAAAATAGTTGGTATTTCACACCTGGCCAGCCAGGGTGGTTTCTGAGTTACATGCCAAGGTGCATTAAGTCAGGTGACCTTCCCTCCTCTGTTGTACTCATTTGTGGCTAAAATCGGACTGAGAAAAGGAAGGCCTGCTGACTTCAGTGGTCACAGCCAAGAGCATCGAGCTTTGCCGCAGCTGATACCCGCACACAGCCAATGCGGGAGAAAGCAGTTAACTGGGTCCACACTTCACCTTCTATTTATGAGAGGTTCGTGCAGAGCACACAGCCCGGTGCCCGAGAGCTATTATTAGTACTTCTAAATTTCTACACTTACTGTTGAAATAGTCATTTTTACGAGCCTCTTAAACGAGCAGGCCAACTGCATTTGCTACCAGGCCACAGTGACAGGTTCCAGGGTCATCTTCTGCCCCCCACTGGCGCAAATACACATATACTCACAGCCATTCATATTTACGCGGGAACGCACTGCTACATAGTCAATACCCCCAATGTATATATGTCTCCATGCTTCTGTCTACTTGGCTCCCTTGTACCCATCTCTGTTCTGACCCCTGCTATCGGCTGTTTGCAATGGCCTCCTCCTTCAACACTATTTCTCAAATGTTCTGTTCATCACCACCCTGACTCCCAGACTGAGATGCCAAAGACTGTTGCTTCCCTCCAGCTCTCTTTAGTAGATTTAGCTCTTGGTGGTGAATTACCTGCTTGTTCAACCAGACCAGCAGACCCTGGAGTCATGAATGATTTCACTCAGGGCTCCTAACCCAGCAGTCCCTATGACACAGTGGACCCGGGAAAGAAGGGATAGAAGATAATGCCACAGGGAAATAACCATGAGGTAGCAACCAGGACACACACCTGCCTAGTGTGACTCTAGCCAGCCGTATTATGAGGGAGGTGACCTAACTCCACCTGAAAGGAAGCTAGAAAACACCTGGCAGAGATTTGAAATTACACATTCGCTTCTGCTAACGATTGACCTCAGTGTTAATGTAGATTATTGTGCTTTTATATATTGCTTGTAACACAAGGAACCATTGTGGTTGGCGAACAATAAAAACTTAGGCACGCAGAAACTCCAATAATATATAGCTAATGAGAACAAAACTATTTTAGGTACCACTGGAATTTTTAATTAAAATAATTGCCTTGTCCTTTGAATGTCTTTTAAAACATTTGTATTGTTATAGATACCAATAATGTTTGAAGATGCAGCCTTCAAGGTTACAAGTTTCTGAGTTATAGGGGCCAGAACAACACACTCTATCTCATGCCTCCCCTAACTCTCTATGTGACTTTGGGCAACTCTCCCCACTTCTTTGAGCATCTATGTCCCCAGTGATGGACTGTGGATAGCACTAGTGTCTATTACCCCTTCACTGTGCCTGGCACACTGCAAACATTCCAACCATCACCTTTGTCTTAAAATGGGGTTTTCAGTTAAGATTGCCAAATTGTCTAACATTCCAATACATAGATACTTCAGAAATACTTCAGAAAGTTGGAGTCGTAAAATCAGGCAAGGACCACCATACTGACCAGCTTGCTAATGTGCTCCTCCTGTGAGAACATATGAACTCATAATTAACTTGCTCTAATTTATTAATTATTAATTAACTTTTGCTTATATCTTGTGGAATCCAGTGATGATTAATGAACAAGCCATTACTATTTGAGCAAAGCATAGAGGCTGCTTCATGGCAGTTCTTTCGCCAGATTCTAAATAAGTTTCTTCCCTTGAGATCCTCAGAGCCCGGTGCAGACACACACACACACACACACACACACACACACACACACACACCACGCCGTCCACATGGGAAAAGCACACGAGTTTGATGAAGAGCCACTTAGTTCTTCCCAAATGCAAACTAGGGCTATGACTTACCATGTCGCCTCCGATGAGGAAACTGAGTAGCCTCTCAGAGACACATACCTTCTTCCCACAAACTCATGCCGCCTTCTTGACGATAGCCTGATATTGAGCAATGGGTGTGGCTAACGGGGTTGCACGCCCCCTTCTCCTGACCCACCTGGATGTGCTAGCAGTCATAGAGGAGGTGTCGAGGTGAGCAAGAGCTCTCAGTGCTGGTATTTCTCATGCACCCTCCTTCCTGCAGCCCCCAAATCGTCAGTCTTGGAAGAAATGCTACACAACTTGGATTTCTGTGATATTTTGGTGCTTGGAGGGGACCTGGATCCGAGACAAGAGTGCTTGGAGCTCAACCACAGTGAGCTTCACCAACGACACCTAGATGCCACTAACTCTACAGCAGGCTACTCCATCTATGGTAAGGTCCCACACAGCCCCTCTGCTCGGTGTTGTGTCTTCAACCAAGTGAGCTTCACCAGTGACACCTAGATGCCACTATCTCTATGGTCAGATACTCTATTTACAGTAAGGTCCCACACCCCTTCTACGCAGTGGTGTGCTCTCAGAACAGCCTTGTCAAGGGGCTACTGACTATCAAAGCATCTGGGGGGAGGGGTATGTGCATCATGCAGTCCTAGGGGTCAAGTGGAAATTCTTATGTTTCTAGATTTTACTTTCTAGAGTAACTCCACCCTCTGGAAAAATTGTACCTTATCCTTGTTCTTTGGGAATCTGTAGAAACTGAGAGAGGGACTTTACTTTTTGATCCCAGAAAATGCTTCAGCTATGTTTGGCAGACTGGGGCCAAACATTCCAGTCATAGGCTAATCTACATGGAAATTCTTTGGATTGGTTTCATCTTTGACGCTTCTGTTTCTGCTCATTTTCCACCCATAAGCACTCTGGCTCTTACCCTGGATTCACAGCCCTGACAGCATCAGTCTGCCTCCTGTGCCTACAGCTCCCCTCCTCTTCTCCCTCCTGATAGTAGGTGTGGTCTCTTGGTGCAGGTGTAGGGTCCATGAGCCGCTACGAGCAGGTGCTGCACCATCTCCGTTACCGCAACTGGCATCCCACTTCCCTTGAGACCCGGAGGTTCCGGATCAAGTGTTCAGAACTCAACGGGCGTTACACTAGCAATGAGTTCAACCTGGAGGTGAGTGTATCCTGCCATTGTTAGGGGAGGCCTGACCCACCCGCCCATTCTGTCATCCATTCAGAGAACTATCTCAACCTCCTGCTTGCATCTCTCCTTGCTCTTCCCAGGTCAGCGTCCTCCATGAAGTCAGAGTCTCTGAGAAGGAGCACGTCAACCACCTCATTGTGCAGCCACCCTTCCTCCAGTCTGTCCATCACCCTGAGTCCCGGACTAGTATCCAACGCAGCTCAGGTAGAACTTTCGATGGCAATTCAGTCAGTCACTAAGCAGACAGTTATACTATAGCTCCCAAAGGCACTCGGAGCTGAGAAAGGGACTCCCGCCATGGGAAAACTACAAACCCTTTCTCTGAACATTGCTGCTTTCAATAGGAAGTCAATCAACTAGGCAAGGAGTTTCATACAATCTGTAATGACAGAGATTGGTACAAAGGGCTGAGATGTTATGTTAGTCATTTCAGGGCCAACTCAACAGCTTTCCGTGAACCGCTTCCACATGTAGCATCTTCAAAGTCATCTGCGCATGCCTTTGCTTGAGCGCTTGCTGTATTGTGCCACCGTCTGGTCGCACGCATATTGCTACTAAATTTCACAGTGCCTGACTCAGAGGAAACTTTCGTACAATTTGAGGAGAAAAGCCGTGAGTAAAAGAGAATCTACATTTATTGAATGCCTATATAGATGCTCACAGAGATTATTTTCCTTACTCTTTACAATGGCCATAGCGGAGTGAGTGTCACATCTGACACACTTGTATAAAAGTATATCCCAGGCGTAGTGAGGTAAGGCCCCAGAACCCTATGACTAGGAAATTGGAGGGAAGATTTTATTGTGAACACAGATATCTTGTTCTTCAGAAGAATGAGTGATAGCTTTAATCATCATTTTATTTGGATTTCTTTTTTGTTTCAGTGGTCCCGAGCATTGCCACAGTGGTCATCATTATCTCTGTGTGCATGCTGGTGTTCGTTGTGGCCATGGGTGTGTACCGAGTCCGAATTGCCCACCAGCATTTTCTCCAAGAGACTGAGGCTGCCAAAGAGGCTGAGATGGACTGGGATGACTCGGCCCTGACGATCACAGTCAATCCTATGGAGGTGATGCTCTCTGGGATGGGAGCTCGGGGTGGGGGTGCAGGCTTCTCCTGCCAATTGACTTGGCTCGTCTTCTGCCTCGATCCCAGATCCAGACTCCTCCGAGCCTAATGAGTCCCATTTCCAGAGATTCTCTCATTTCTGCTTCTTCAGTCCTTTCGACATGAGCAAGCCCTATTTCCCTATGAACTGTGTTCCCTAATTTAAAACGTGCCATCTTTCTTATCCCAAAAACATAGCTAGAATTTTCTTAAAGCAAACAGTCATTCAGTATCTATTCCTCACCGCCACTGGAGTTCAGAGCTGACAAACACTCAGGAATTTAACATTGAACTCTTGATTAGCTAACAGTGCAAATTAGGTGGCCTGTAGAGCTCTCTCACAGGCTTGGAATCAGTTAAAACAAAGGCTCAGCAACAACACCTGCCATTTAATAAGCGCCCCTTTAGCTAGACACTGTACCAGATGGTCTGTATTTCTAAACACCATGTGAAGTGGGGAGCATCACCCTCATTTACCAAGGTGGGAGCTGAGAGAAGAGTGGTACCATGTTCAAATGCATGCATGCAGCCAGCATTCAAAGTCAAGGCAGTACAATTCTGAAGCTCGCTGGATTTCAGCTGGCCAGGAGCCCCCAGAAGCTGTCTATGACCACGTGAGGGGCCTGGTCTATGTATCTGCCTATCATTCCTTTTGCCCACAGATGCCGAGTCTGGAAGACACAAGCCCAGAGAAAGATCAGGGAAAGTCATAGGGAAATAATAGAGATGATCATTGCTGCCTGGTTCCTGTTTTACTCGCAGCTCATCCCCTGCTCTGTTTCACAGCCAGCATGGCACGATTTCTTTAAGTATGCTGGTCTGGGAATCCAGGACTTCCATCCTCAAAGAGATGAACTTTCAGTGTAAGAAGCGAGAACAATCTGAGGAGCAAACAGTGTGTCTCAGAGGGGCTGACCCAACAAGGGCAGCTCTTGCTGAAGCTCTGGTGTGGAGACTCTTGGGAGCCTGCCATTCAAGAAAACAGCAGTCATTAGGGGACACTAAAGTAAGGAAAAGCTTGTCGGAGGGGTATGGTTTGGAGGAGACAGAAGTGGATAGAAGATAATCTAAAGAGCCGTGTAGCCACACAAGGCAGCATACCACTCGTGACCTGATTTGCCAACTCAAACCCTAAATCCAGCAAAAAAGGATGTTGCTGCAATTGCCACAAAGCTGTCAGAAGGGAAAATGGAACTGGAGAGGGTAGCGTGCAGTTTTAATTCACAAATTATGACATGAGGAGGCAGGCAGGGAAAGTGAGGGCCTAAACTTGGGCCTTTGCAAAAGAATAGTTTTTCATTATAGTACACCTGCACCTTGGCTTAGACAACCTTCTATTTCCAGGGATACAATGTTCCCACATGGAAAAGTGTCCAAGGTTAAGCATGGCTGTACCCCTGGCAAGCAAACAGTTAAGAACGGAAAGTTCTACTTAAAGGGTCTGAAAGATTCAGTAGGTGATGCTGTTGGTTAAATGCCCATCTCCTCAGTGACACTAATATGCTACCTTGACTATGTGTCCTGGGATTTGCTGCTATTTTAGACCTTTATCTGACTTTCTGACTTTCCTCTTACCAAGTCTCTTTCCCAGAGATCCTATCTAGGCAGGGTGAGGGGTTTAGCTTGGAGTTAAATGAATCCCAAGAGTCTTAAGTCTTTGTTGCACAGAGCTCCCAGGTGGGCCCTCCCCAGCCCTTGATGCATATTTTGTCTGTCCTTGGCATCCAGAAACATGAAGGACCAGGGCATGGGGAAGATGAGACTGAAGGAGAGGAAGAAGAGGAAGCAGAGGAAGGCGTGAGCTCCAGCAGCAGCGGCTCTGACGACAGCGAAGAGGAAGAGGAGGAAGGCACGGGCAGAGGCAGACATGGGCAGAGTGTCACGAGGCAAGCCCAGCTAGAGTGGGATGATTCCACTCTCCCCTACTAGCACCCACAGCTCTGCTGACCAACTTGTGTGCCCCTTTTGTAAAGCCCAACCCAATGTATGCCCAAGCCTGTCACTTGCCTCTGATTTCTACGACAGGTCTGGGAAGGCCATCGCTTCCTAGAATCTGCCCTCTGTGGTTCGGGTACTGCGAGTGTCCCAGCCGTGGGGCAGTTCCAAGAGCCCAGTGTCACCATCAGTGAGGACTTCAGGATGGTTCCATTGTCCTGTAGCCCTCACTGCCAGGAGCTCACCCAGAATCCTGTCACTCACCCAGTCTACAGAGTTCTGAACACGTTCTCTTCTGCAGGGGAGAAATCCACCTTTGTCACTTACCACCCCGAAGTTAGTGTTCTCAGACTCCTTGGGTTGCAACTCACTGTGTATGTACTTAACTAAACAGCCTTTCTCCACCTACACCAGCAGGTCCTCCCTAGGTTTGGTCTCCAGGTTGCTTTTTACAGGGAGAGCAGTGGAATCTCATAAACCTAAGGTCTTAGAGCTGAAGAATTGAAAAGACGGTCTTTGTTGAGGCAGAATTAAGTTTCCAAGGAAGGATTCATAGTATACATGTACATGTACAAACACCACACACACACACACACACACACAGAGAGAGAGAGAGAGAGAGAGAGAGAGAGAGAGAGATCCCAGCTTTGAGAGCCTTTTCTTCTTACTTCTTTCTAAGACTACATAAACTAATATAAAAAGTTCAAAACCAAAAGTTAGTTGGTCTTTGACCATAAGTAGCATGTATCCTCATCAAAGGGCTCACTGACCAGCGTTCTGACCTGCTTAGGGAATGCCTGAGCAAGTGGGGTGTCCCTGTTCGGGGCTATCACCACATAGAACCTCGGGGCTCAGGAAGCATGTCACACAGGCACTGCTCGGGTGACAGCTTGACCTTGGCTGTTACCAGGAGCCCGAGAAAGGACTAATGGGGTGTCCCAGTGAGGTTCATAGTGGATAGAAATCTGCTTTGACAAGGGGTTGGTATGGTTGGACTCCCCTAGATAAGGGCAGCCTCCAGGTTGACAAGGCTGCCACCACCTAGCCTGTGGTCCTTTATCTCCTAGGTTACTGTTTTCTCTCGAGGAAATAACATCATTTTCAGATGTAGTGGAACAAATGTGGGCTCTTGCAGTCTGCGATGAAAGTTGGGAAATTTAACTGCTAGGAATTCAAAGCGTATCTGTAATAATGGCAGCTGCCTCTTTCTTCTTCTCATAAAAGGAGGGACGCTTTGAATAGGGGGCAAATATATCAAAACCCTAATTTCTTGTTTCTTTTTCTTATTTTAATAAGGAAGACTTTCCCATCTCCATTCTAACATGGGCACTTCGTGAGGAGAATTGTTGCTATAGTAACTGGTGGACAATCCTTTGTGGCCTAGAGAATAGCAGGCAAGAATGAAGGCTGTGGCAAGGTCCCCACAAGGCTTTGAAGACATGTTTGCTCCAAACACCTTGAGCTCCTCTTTGTTCTCAATCTGTTTAGGCCCTCCTCCTCATCCCACTCTTCCCCAGGTCCCTCCCGTAATGGCTCGGCCCCCATCCACTGTCGGTCTCTTGTCACATAACTTTGACATGCCGTCCAACGGAGCATTCAGAGAGTGGCTGTGACTGATGTCGTCCAGTCCTCTGCTCAGCCCTCTGGGCAGTGAGGATCCATGCCAGGTCTTCGCCAGCTTCCAGCTGGAGAGATCTACCTCATGCTGTAGTCCCATCTCCTGAGCATTTCATGTGCACCTTCCCTTTCTTGAGCCTCCAAGTAACCTTGGGAAATATTTGAGAAATCTGTTAGTGGGTATGTTTCTGAGCTGAGTAAACTGAGGCTCAGAGTCAGTGTCCTGCTCAGAGTCCGTTCAGAGGTATAGACTGCCCTTTGCTCCCAGTCCATGGTCCTACTTATGTCCGTATTAACATACGTTCCTGGGTACCCACTATATGCTAAGCACTCTCCAGTGGGGAGGGTATGAAGCTGAAGGAGACAGGCCTTTCCCTATAGAGGACTTAAGAGTTACAGAAGGCACACAAACAAACCTGGGAATTACACAGGAGAAAGGAAAAGGAAGTGACAGAAAACACAGGATGAACAGGGACACATTTACCAACTCAATCGGTGCCCTAATTTTTCTTTCTTGGAAGGAACTTGAGATTTTATATTCATTGTTGGGAAATAGGCACATCTCTCGTGAATTACCCCCAATCAAATGCCTCCTTTTCTGTCAAGTTCTTTCTGTACATTTACAAGGGGAAAAATCTACAGGACCAGTTAGGGCTTCACAATCCCATTATTTAAATAAAAAGACATTCTTCAGTCGGGCATTTTAGGAGCTACTGAATTCTCCCAAAATTATGGCAGTAAAGGGAACACTTTGTATGTTTAAAACCAATCCTTTTTGAATGAGATTTTGATTGCAAATATTTAAGTCTAGGGTTTATGAGAGTGCTTTGCTCTGCTCTGACTTTTCAGTTCCGACTGGGTGGAAAGCTGTTCTCATGCCCCCGGGCTACCTCTTGTGGCTGCATTACTCATTCATGGTTAGGTGAACTGTTGGGAGTATTAGAAGGCCTTTATGTTTTGTCTGAGGTGGGGGAGGGGGGAAGCAGATGGAAGTTAGGAAGCATTAGGATAAACCAGCAAAGATGTGTCATTGCAGGAGGCATTTGTTGGCTGGACTTATTTGCAGGGAAACGGTGATAACAAGAAACGAAAGCCTTTCCCTCCTCTGGCGGTGCACAAGGTCATTCTACATGCCAACTCCAAAGCTGAGGCATCTAAATGATGTTACTGGGACCAGAGGCATTTATCTTGTTCCCAACACTCACTTGTTACCTTGGGTGAGATCGAGGAGGGGTTGTGGTCATAAAATAACCAGCTTCAGCAGGCATCCAGGTAAGTGGTAGATAATCGCATATGCCTCCCACCAGCTCTTCTGGCCAAGAGTGTAAGATGCTAATCGCACTGGCATTTCTCAGGCTCTGTAGGGTGGTTTTTTGAAACCCAAACTCCCAGGTGATTTGGACATCCTGTGACTTCTCAGGGACAGGTGAGCAGTCAAGGAGAGGCAGACTCAGTCCCAGGAGAAGCAACTGATTGGTTTGGCCACAGACCAGTCCATTGCTTAGCTGGCCAAATGGACAACCTGAGTCTGTTATTCAGAGCTTGGAAATAGGTTGAGCCTGAAAACGGGTAGATTGCCATGCTCAGGCAACTTGAAAGACAGAGAGGATGAGAAAAAGGAGGATGAGGTCAGAAGCGACCAGCACAGAGTGGGTTTCCCCACTGGAGAAAAGCCATTAAGCCCATTGGAGAAGCCTCTCCAGGAAAGCTGGCTGTATTCGAACAGATTTAAACAAATACTATAAGTCTGGCCAAGGCTCCAAGTCACACATATGCAAAATCTGTGATTTCTGTGAGAACTTTCTTCAATTAGCCATCCGTCTGCCATGCTCAGTTTAGACCACAGACTCTCAGGTTATCAAGGGAGTGTGTCTTCCAGGAACCCCAAGTCTCTATGTAGGTGACCACTGCTAGTGCCCCCTTCCTGTGCATCAGAGATCAACAACTTATGTCTGGAAAGATCCAGAAAGGAGTGACTTAGGGCAGTAAGCTCTTGTTCTCTCTGCTGCTCCTGTTGAGTCCCACCTTATGGCACGGAAGCAGCCACAGAAAATACCCAAACAAAGGGACTTTTCAATTCATTTCTCCATCTGCTTCCCAGGAAAATTGATTTATGATACTGAAAAAAAGAGGAAATCTGAACTCACTGAATTCAATTCATGTCATAAACCTTTTACTCTCTTTATTTCTCATTTCCCACACAAAACTTAACCTGCAAGACATTGAGAAAACTAGCCACCAGGCAAATCCATGTGAGTCAGACTCTTACCCACAATACACAGGAAGCAGCCCTCCATTTCCCAGGAGAAAAACTATACCAGCGTGCCTCTATCGGCTCCCTCGTGGTCAGTGCCTTGAATTGAACATCTGGAAAACACTAGGCTCTTCCTGAAAACTCTCTTAGAAGTTCACAGAATATTGGAGAAAATGAAAAAATAAATAAATAAATAAGCGAACCAACAGAAATCCCACTTGTTATTTTTGAACTGATCAAATCAGACAAATATCCCCAAGGGTCGGATGCCTTGGACCCAGGGGACTGGCTAATCACTGAGCACGGACTGCCTCCTCGGCTGAGGCAGGAGCTAACTCCCCAGGCTCAGCACCTTCCCAGCAGGGCTCAGTCCATAATGATTTCCAAGCAGAAGTGTTCATTATCTGGGACTGATTCTCATTTCAGCCCTGCTCATGTCTTCACTCTAAAAATGATCCTAAAGACTTGTGGCTGTTGGAATCAATAGCAACACAATCAGCAGAAAGCCCTACCTGGCACACTTCAAAATTCGCAGTCTTCTTGCCTCCGTGACTCAATATTAGCAGCAAAGAAAGGAGTGCTTTTTCTTAATCATCTCCCCCATTTAAATTAACCAAATTGGCTTTGCAAAATAAATAAATAAATATAAATATAAATGGGAGGGAATAAATCTAATTCTTTAGAAGAATTTGCCAGTGAATCGTAGATGATGTTCAGATCACATGTAGCCTCTGGGGGTTCCCAGACGCCTCCCGCAAAGTGCTCAGGCAGCTGCGATGGCGCAGGCGTCTCGATCTGGACCAGACATTTATCGAGGCCGACAAGCCAAAGCCCTTGGCACGGTTTAATTTTCATGTAACCGCTTTCCGTTGTCCAGCTGCAGGGAGAGGAAATGAGCGATGCCAGCTTAGAAGTCACCTCCAGCACCCTCGTTTGACTGTCTTTGTTTGGCTTCATGCATTTGCTCTGCGTTAGCTCCCTTCTGACACTGGTGGAAAGGGAGAGTTGGTTTTAGTGGAGCTATGGTGTAGGAGCCAAGCTTGACTTTGTCCCATGGTAACAAAGGACACATAAATGACCTCCACAAGCATCTCAGAGAACAGTCAGATGGCGGCTGTGTCAGTCCGTTAGCCGATGGGAGTCTCTGTTTGCAGCTATGTTCAACCGCTTCAGCAAGTCCTCCCTGAGCACCCATGAAGGCTAGACTCTAAGTCGAGGCATGGGGAAGAGAGATTGGATGAAAAAGAGACTTGCTCCTGAGGATCCCCGGTCTTGTATGCCAGAGGCATCCACAAGCAGTTAGGACGGTCAGGGGCAGAAGTTTAGGTGTAGAATATAATTGCTTTGCAGTCACCTGCTGGAAGTTAGATGGCAGGAAAGAGCCTAGGGGTGCTGAAGGGCCTCCATGAAAAGACAGAGAAGATCTTTAGGGAAGTGAGCAGTGTGCTCCGCAATGCTCCTTCGTTATCATGGTTCAGGTCACTTACAGAGGAAAGCCTTTCCCTCCATGCAGAAATAATATGACTGACGGCTGGGATTTGGTAAAACTAAGCCAGAGGGCGTCCGTAAGTAAGAGCCGCAGCCAGGCAGAGTGGACAGGTTATGAACGGGCGGGTGTAAGAGGGTGGGAGGCTGACAGCCAAAGCCAGCCTGACGTGAGGGTCCTCACACGAAGGCCGGAGCTCTGGAGGCCCCGTGGAGGTTTGCTCAGCATGTTGCACAGGTCCAGTCCACTGGCTGTGTGATTTGCACGGTGAGAACAGCAGCAGCGCCGGGGGAACTGGGGAGGCAAACTCCCCAGGTGAGGCTCAGCAAGCTGTGCTCTCCAGTGTGCTGCTCAGGTAGACCAGGCTTTGAGAACCACGGCTGTGGAGGAAGAGACCAGCGTCTGCTAGCATTGGGAGGGACTGCTAACCATCCGGAGAAAATAACCAGCTCCTACTGCCGTCCCAGAGGAAAACAGAGCAGGGCCCCAGTTCTCACCCCTGGAGCAATAATTTCAAAGAACCAAGTCCCAATTCCAATTTCTCTCCTCTGCTTGGGTGTGAGGGGATCCCTGCCCACGTGCCCCTTCTACAGTAATGAGGGACACGGCCTAGGAGGGCTGTACTGAAGTCACCCAGCCCCAGGGAGGCCACCAGCCGGGTTCCTGGACATTGAGTAGCCACCTACAAAGTCTTGTTTTGTCTGGAAGCAGAGAGACTGCAGGGAGGAGCCCAAGGCCACTAGGAGGCCGCTTTGCTCACAGCCAGCGGGCATCCCTGAGAACAGGGTCCTTCAAGGACGCTACCAGATTGTTACAGCACTATTCATTTGTACTGAGACTGGGGGAATGCAGTCACAATGCAAACACTAAATTGGATGGGGAAATGGATTGCTTCTCTTGGCAGGACAGTAAGCCATGTTACTAAAAGTAGGAAAAAAACTAACAGTCAAACCTACAGTTTTATCTACAGTGGGAATCTCATTCCTGTGGTCTAGGTGAGCACCAGACCCCAACCAATACCCTTTGCTTGAATGACCAGATACCTGGGCCTGATTTACAGCATAAGATCTATGGTACAAGCACCATAAACCCTCAGCAGGAACTCCTTACCGTTTTACCAGTTACCGTGCCTGTGACCTAAGTCTACATCGGAATCTCAGGGTCAAGGTCAGAGGTGAGGGCACATAAGCCAAGAGACCCCGTCCTGCTCAGAAACGTACCTCTTGACAGATGTTTCCCTGAGCCCCCTGAGGACTCCAAAGGGAGCCTGAGACTATACATCTTTAAAAAGCTAGAATCTACCTTTTTCATTAAGTAGAAGAAATGGGAGTGGAGGGAAAAAAATGTAGGACATGCCTGTTATTTACCTGTGGGAAGCATGAGGAAACCAAGAAGAGGAAATTTTCTTTTACAGCCTGGCCTCTCAGAGTGAAATCCCTGCTGACAACACTTCTGTCCCGACACTTAAGGCCATTTTGTGTTTCCCTTACACACCAGCCATTTGTGACAAAGGCCTCCGAAGGGACAGAACAGAAAGAGATGGAGAGTAGTCCCTCATTGGCAGGTTTGTTCATCCAGGGCAAGGAGACAGTTCACCCTTGGAGCAGAAGATCAGATCCAGCCAGGGTATTGGGGGAGGGGTGAGTAGTAGAATATCACCCATGGAGAGACCACCCAGGAATGAGACACGTGATACAGTCAACAAGCAGAATATATGAACTGGTAGTTCTGAGCTAGTGACATGGTAAACCTGAGGTAGCACCACCCCCAAGAGTCACAGTCTACATTCCCAGAGTACCCTAGAAAGCAAGGAGTGTATGTAAGTGTAGAACTTCCCAACTTTTCCTACCTCCACTTGCCCTTCCCCTAAGGCAAGAAAAATAACTGATGTGTCCCAGGACCCTGGTCCTACACTGAGGATGTAACCAACCAATCATGTACTGCATTGTGGGCTCAACAACTATTGAATCAAATAGAGTCCCAGAGATCACCTGGCCTCAGAGTAGGAGTATGGTTTGAAGTTAAGATCCCTGCTGGAGAAAGACTCCTCCAGCCCAGTTTTAGTGTTATCAGTTGTCATTTGCAAAATCAAGAGTGGGAAAAGAAGGGAAGGAAGAAGGACAAGTGATAGCCGACAGGAAGGGACTTCATCGGACCTGTTGACCTGTTGAAGTATCTCCCCAAAGCCAGGAGCAAGCATAGCTAGGCCTTGATGAGCCCCATTTGTTCTACCCCATGGGTCATGGGACTGAGGAAATGGAGCCTTAATTTGTTAATAAGCCCAGCTCTTTGCCTCTTTCCCACCCTTTTGATCAAGTATGCCGTGGCAGAATTCATCACTGTGAAGTTCAAGTCCCGATAGTCTAACGAGAAGAGGGCAGCAGACAGGGGAGGCGCTAGCATGCAGGTGGTATATATTAATCCCAGGAACAAAATCGTGTTGGCTTTAATGTCTGTTTGCTTTTATCTGGGAATGAAAATGTACCTCCATTACCTGGACCCTTTATACTGAGCATTTTAGGAACAGACATGGCACGCAAACACATAACTATTGAGGGTTCTTTTCCCTAGCAGAATGAACTGTCAGAAAACGAAGAGGTTATATCTATTTGTAAAGGCAGAGAATCAGCCCGCGGGTTTTAGGTCAAGACTCCAGTACTCCTGTGGGAAAGGGATGGGGGTGGACAAGAAGGTAGCCTCTGCCCTCTGGAAGGATTCCTGGGTGGGGGTTAAGGGAATTCAATGGTATCCATGAGTCACATAGCCTAGTAAAATGCATGCATTCACCTTTGGAGGCAAAAGTGCATCCATTCTGGCCGTCAGGGAATGCTGGGGTGGGGCGCTCACCACTATGCAATCTCCATGATACAAAGGAACCCAGAGGGAATATTGATGGCACTCTCACAGACATGCTCCTGAGGGTGGAAACAGAGCATAAGTTTTGGGGAAAGGAAGTTGGTCATGGCACCCAAGTGAATTGCTTGTAAAGGAAGGGAAGAGATGTTGAACGAGAAGGCAATGGAGTTGGAGAAGGAACAAGTTGATTAGAAGCGACAGCAGGGGGAGCAACCAAGAAGCAAGGGTACTGCTCTGTGCTTACACTTATATTCATGTGTCAAAGGAATCATGGGTAAGTGTAACCATGTGACCACAGAGGCAGTCACTGCAGTGGTTTTACAAGTCAGAGCCCCTTGAAGAGGATGACAGATCAGTCTACCTACCAGGTTTCCATATGATCTGCTTCCGAGAAAGAGCTGTTGGTGCTCTGAGCTGGATGGGCATGGCTGGGGATTGGAGCAAACTAGGTGGAGAATAGAAAGATGAAAGCTTATATAGATGCTGGCTGTACCCAAGGAAACCTATAGTTACTAGAGCGGAGCTTGTTATGTTATTGCGTGGGCATTGTAATGTATGTAAGGAGGAGTCACAATGATATGACGGGTCATTAGTTTAGGGAATTAGAATATTAAGTATAAGATACCAGACATAACTAGATAAAGAGATACTGATAATATATATGTATGTACATATATGCATATCTGTAATATGGAAATGAGATTTAAAAAGAGAGGTCATTAGTCCCAACAAATTATAATCCTCCAGAAGCCTTAGGTTATTCTTATTGTTATTTGCTTTTAGCTCTCAAAACCCTGGAAAAAGCACCTGGAACCCAGCAGGAGTCGTAAACATTTGGAAGTGAAGCACGTAGCTTGTCCCTACTTGGTGAAGACAGATCACAAAACCCTATATTGACTGAGCCATACAGAAGCAGGCTGACCACACACTTCTCCTAGCTTACAGAAGTCTTTGTGAATTCCCATTAGTCCACGCAGTACTCAGACAACTGCAGACTCTGGATCTCGATCTCTGGCAGTGAACAGTGACAGTGTTGCACATAGTGGCTTACACACATTTAGAACTATCTGAATAACACACACAAGGCTGTTTCTGCAGGACAGAGTCTGCCCACCCTACCATTGTCTCTGCCTTTCCCTAAGTACTTGATAGGTACTGTTGAATCTGCCATCTTCAGTCATGATGCTGGGACGAAATATAAAGATTCTGGGTGCAGCCAATCCCAGGCCCTTCCCTCCTCCCATCTCTGGAGATGATACCACCATTTTAAAACCTTGTGTGAGAAGCCTGTTTGTTTGAGCCTGTTGAGCCTGTTCCTCAACCTCAGTGATGGACAAGGCCTGAGATAGACAGGCTGCTTGCTCGACTGGAGCTTCTCTGGGGTCCACCCTGCAGAGAGAAAAAGCAGCCTCATTTATGGACCTCCCCCCACCCGCCTTCCACCTGCTCCTGACTGGGCAGTGGCCATTAGGTTTGTGCAACTGGAGTGTCTTTAGCCAGAGCCATCTTCACCTGGGGATTGTCCAGCGTGTTCTCGGCACACGTGTTGTGAGCCACTTGAGCTGCCTCCAAGAATGAATCTTCCTAGTCTACAAATGTATTTATTTGGTAACTATGCTACTGTGTGTGTATGAGTCTGATACAATGCAAAAGCTTTGAAATGTCTTATTAAAAGGACTTATGAATTTATAGAAAATGGAATCTAACTTCAGAACAGTGCGTTATGTTGTTGGTCAATAAGGTTGCCCAGCCACAGGGGACCAGAGGAAAACCTTACCCTCCCACTCCTTTCCTTGGTCCCTTCTCCCTGCCTAATTGCCCTACTAGCTCCTAACTGATGCAGAGTGAAGGATGCCGAGAGTGTACATGTACATAAAGATTTAATAGAAAAATAACCTCTGGGAGAATCGGTTGAGTTTCTTCCTATGGCTGTGATCTCATCATGCCCGAATCCCAAACTCTAAATTTCTAACAGTTTCAATTCTTGCAGTTTCTGAGTAATTTGTTAAATGCCTATTCAACACAGACAGATATTTATTTTCAGCCTTGGCTTGTAAATGCCTACAAACTGATTCATGTTGGTGGTCGTTATGACACTTCTGTGAATTGGTGAATAAATATGATTTTAGAATTTCACAGTAAAGATGACTTCTGAGGGTTTTACTGTCCAGACATGTGGTGGGATGAGAGGCGGCGAACTGCTTCGACTGGATCAGCATAACTGGGGCTCTGTTCTGTATCCACGTGGGTGAGGGAGACCTGGTGAATGTGGCAGTGGTTGACCCCGTAAGACTTCCTTCTGAGCCCCCTGTTATATGAGAGCTGAGCAAGGCGGTGTTGTCATGGGAGACAGCTAACATGGTGATCTCAGCGAGATGAGGTGTTTATTGGAGACCAACAAATTGCTGGAGCTATGAACCCTGAAGTAGCTTTTTCTTCCTGGTAACCATGAGACCCAGAGGAATCCAGAATATTTCCTCAGACAAGAGGTTGTGAGCATGGCCCTGTAGTTGGATTTATCTTTGAGCTGCCAACCAGCTCCCAAATAAAGACATGGAGATTTAATATTAATTATGAATGCTCAGACTTAGCTTAGGCTTGTCCCACTAGCTCTTTTAACTTAAGACCTTGAAATATCTTATTAAAAGGACTTACGAGTTTATAGAAAATTGAATCTAACCTCAGAACAGCTACTGTCCATCTATGTTTTGCCTCAGGGCTTTTTACCTGTCTTTCATTCTGCACATCCTACTTCCTCGCTTTCTCTGTGTCTTCCTGACTGGCCGCTGGAGTCTCCCTGGCATCTCTTTCTCTTTCTTCTTCAAGACCAAATTCCTCTTCCTACTTACTCCTTCTACCCAGAAATCCATCTATGCCTCCTCCTTCACTATTGGTCATTCAACTTTTCATTAGACCAATCAGGTGCCTTAGGCAAGCAAGGTAAAAGAGCAACACATCTTTACATAATTAAAGAAATGTAAAACATCTTTGCATAGTTAAACAAATATTCTACTACACGGCCCTTCTCCTCCTTTGAGCCATCCCCTTTCCTCCATGCTGATGTGCCCGTAGATACAGGTGACACTCAGGGCCACCTTGACACAGGAGCTCATGATGATGAAGCGCCCGCTCACTATCCAAAGACAGTGGAGATCCAGACACGTCCCTAAGATTCTAGATGCTGTCGTTACCAGACTTTCCCTCCTAGTTTCTTTCATTTTTTATTAATTAATCAATCAATTAATTTTTCCCAGCCCAATCCCTCTCTCCTATCTTCCCAGTCCCTTCCCCAACCCCCCATCCACTGACTCTCCTTTCTCCAGAAAAGTTCCTGCCATCCATGTCCATTAGCCAGCCATTCTCCCTCCTAAGCTTCCACTGAGCCAACACAAGGCTAAGCACCACCATTCCGGTGAGTGTCAGAGGGAAGAAGGGAAAATTCAAACAAAGTATCCTTGGGCAGCTGGAGAGATGGCTCAGCGATCAAGAGCACTGGCTACTCTTCTAGACCTGGGCTCTGTCTACATGAAGATTCTCACAACCGTCTATAACATAGTCCCAGGGGATCTGATGCTTTTTTCTGGCCTCCACAGCCACCAGGCACAATGTGGTACACATGCAGACATGTAAGTATAATACTCATACACATAAAATAAAAATAATTAAATATTTGTTTAATGCCCTTGGAAGAAGAATTAGTTTGCCTCATGGTTAATAAAATACCTGACAGGGACAATTTAAGGAAAAGGGTTGCTTTGGCTCCCAATTTTGTAACGTTCGGTTAAAAAAAAAACAACTTAAAAACCTTAGTTCCGTGTACCTGGACACGACAATGGGACAGTAGGAAGGAGCTTCTGGTGGAGAGATGTATACTTTGTGACCAAGAGATCCAAATATAATACATCCCCATGGACACATCCAAAGTGACCCACTTCCTCCAGTTCAGCTCTATAAATTCCCAGAGCATCACCCAAGCAGTGCAAGCATCTGGGGTCCCAAGCATTCAAACAATGAGCCTATGAGGGGCATTATAAATTCAAACCATAACAGGATCTTTAGTGACACATAGAAGACTCTGAACACGACAAGCAAACCACCGCCTGTCACAAGAGGCATTCTTGCTTTCCTCACCCTTTGTGGGCACCCTCACAGGGCCCATCTGACCTCTCACCAGTCCTTGCTACCTTCCTCTCATCTTCCTCCTCAAATGGATGTTAAAAAGATGTGCTTTTCCTTTTCTCTGGGAAGAGCAGCGTTATCATCCTCCCTTACTCTCTTGGTATCTAACCAAAACCCACCCCCATCTTCCCATACCAAAGTACAGATTCTCACACATCCTGATCACTCCTACCCTCAGCGTTATTCCCACTTGATGTGAAACCAGCGTATCTGTCATAAAAGGGAAATTCTATTTTCCCTATTGCATCACAGAGTTAATAAAAAGACAAAGAAGCCTTGATCCGAAAAGCGGTCCTTCACTGGTTCACCTTGGTAACTTGCACACACACTCCATTCATGGCCTTCAGTTTCAAGGTACCTTAGTAAAACCACTTCTTACTTATGATACCATTATCCCATGACAGTCTCTCTACCCTTTCATTTCATTTGTACAGGGTTGATAATGGAACCTTACTTAAAGCATTCTTGTGATGATTAAATGAGCTAACACCTTTCAATTGTCTGCCACAGTGTGCAGACCTTTGGGTATGCGCTAAGTAAGTTTCACCACTTCCATTCAACACTTCACAGTAATACATAGTGTGGGTCACACCCTCAGCCACGCAGATTTCCTGCCTCTCTCACCAAATGCACTCCTTCATTCACTGGGCGGCAGGTGCCCTCCTTGCCCTCTCAATGGAGACTGAAGAAAGGGAGGAAAGAAAGAGGTCAGGGGTGATGCACACAGATTTGCTAAGGATTTACCTTGGACCAAGACTTTACCAGTATTTTCCAGTTCTTCCAGTGACTTCAGAAGAAAGTACCTTCATCCCTATTTCATAAAAGAAAAACTGAGCCCAGAATAACCAGGTGTCCCACCCAAGGCCACGCAGCTGATGATAAGCAAGCATGTTTTTCTGAGCCCTGTGCTTGTCCCAAAATGCCTGCCCACGCCGAGCAGTACCCCCTTTTGAGAGTCAAGTGTTGCCTTTGAGAGCCAAGCCTGCAGGTGCCAGAGCTGGTGACAAACGCTGTTTCCCTTCCTAACACCTTGGAATAAAACCAGCCCCCCTCCCCAACACCAGATACAAGCTGGAAAACCCTGGTTAAATAACTGCAGTTTCAAAAATAAAAATTGTGTTAAAAATGTAAGCCACGGAGTGACTAAGAGCCAGCAGGGGAGCACATTCTGTGAAAATACGCACAGAAACTAGGGCAAATGTGACACTCTCCCACACCAGTGACACCGGGAAATGGTCTCCAGGGCCTCTCTAGACCACCGTGTCCTGAAACCTCAAAAGGTCCTGGGGGCACAGAGCAATGTACAGTCTTCACTCACTTATCCAGTCATTGCCCAAAGATGCCCACAGCTCCTTACGGAGAGGCTGGCTTCACAGGCTAGTGGAGGAGAGACATAAAATTAAATGGTCTCATAAATAAGTGCATAGTCGCCCTTACTGTGAAATCCACAAAGGAGGCACAACCGGAGCCATGAGCAACATCTGGGGAGGAATACGTGAGAGCTCGCTGACTCTTGAGGTAATAACAGTCTGAGCCTCTAGACACCACCAGCCACCGACATAAACTAAGACAGAATGATCTGGAAGGATTTGACCTTCCTTTCTGCTCTACATTTCTTCCCCCAAGGCATCCACTCTGCTCTTCCTGTGATTTCTCCAGGGCGGTCTGTCATGCCTTATATGGTTGTCACCACCTGAACACACAACAGTGAGACGGGGGTGGGGGGGGGGTTGTGACCCTCCCACCTGGGCATGGATTTTGTTACTTAAGGCTGTGTAGCTCACCTGCTGAAGTTAGTTCCAAGACCTCAAGGCTGTGTGAAACTAAAGGGCATGGATCCTGACACTTCTCCTGAGCTGCCCAGAGCTCCTCCCACACCCTTGCCTTGTGGGATTCTGCAGTCCTAAGCTCATCCATGCATTCACCAGACTTAGCTAGACACAGAGATATGGATAGCGAGACTCAAACACAAGGAAGCGGACTGCTTTCTGGAAAATGTGGCTCTTCATCTACAGTGCAGGTGATGGACAGCCACGAGCTGCCTCTGACAAGACTTTCAGATGCTGAAAAGCCTGCGATGTGCATTTTCCTTCTGTGAATAAGTGATAAGCAATGTTTCACTTTATACAAAAGCATCGCACTGTCACTTGGTAGGAGAGCACTACAAGGCTCTCCCTGCCCACTCTGTCTTGCTCAGCAGCTGCTAGAATGCGACCGTCAAAGCCTTCTTCTAACACATTTTGACCCAAATACAACTTGAAGCTGATTCTCCCACTCGTAGGAGCCTCCCACTCAGAAAATGTGTTTGACACGGAGCAGAAGCAGAATTCTCAGTATCAAGACCTCTGGTGAAAGATTCCACAGATGGGTAGTCTGTGTGTGTGTCCGGCATGCGTGAACCAGTTTTTGCTGTCAGATTTTTCTCAACTTGTTTCGAAAATATTGTGTCTGGACTCAAGAAAGAGCGAGGTGTTCCTGAGTGTGCCTCTCTGGCTGCTGCTCCAGAGAGAAAAATAAATGTGAGGTGACAGTTCCCAAACTATGTGCTGGCTGAGGTGAGGGGGCAGGCTGGGCATACACCATCACCCTACACCTACACCTTCCTACATGGGAAAGGCAATTCTGGTTTCAGCACTAAGGACCTCGGGAGGATTGGTTCTGTACATGGGAAGTCTTAACCCAAGACAGATGGCTGGGAATGTAGTCTCTTGACTTCAATGTCCCCTGGGAAGAGATGACATACTAGCCCGGGGGTGTCTGCCTCCTGAGTGAGAGGCACAGAAAGAAGAGACAGTCCAAGGATATGCCTCTCAGCACTGTGCCATTTATATGTGCATTGCATGCTTACGGAATTTACATCCTTACGTGAAAAACATGTCTCAGATTACATCTGTTTTAGGGGAAATTAAGACCTTCAGGACAACCATAGAGTTGTTAGGCTCTGGTTCCCCGAAGTCCTGTTGT